ACATGGCCCACTACTACCACTGAGCCCATCTTGCTTACTTGCAAGTCCAGGCATCGAGTGCATTGACAGGGATAAGGAATCCTGTCAGAACATAGCCCGTGGCCACCACCCCTTCTGCTGTAGCCTTTCTCCGTGGTGGAGCATTCAGAACTTCTGCACACAGATCCACAGTGAAACGCTTCGCCTTTAAGTCCTAGGCTAGACAAATCCCATTAAGTGTGGATTCAGAGGTAGTACACTAATGTGATCACACCCTGCTTCCAAGAAAACAGCAGCTACAGATGTTTATAAAGCACCCAAAATCAGCTAAGAATTTTACCCCCTCTTCCCCTTTGTGCTCAGTAGCATCTCCCACTATTCTCCTCCCTTCCTTCCCTGCCCAGGGCTGCCAACCTGGGGACAGAAGGAGCTCCAGAACCACTCCTGCCTTGCTCCAACTGAGCTGCAGGCTCTGATCCCCCCGGTGTTCCTCGCTAGCTCCCCATGCAGCCAGTCCCTCAGGCCAGCTGAAGCAGGGCAGGAGCAGTTGAAGACAATAGGAATGGTGGTGGGTGGGGAAGGGAGCAAACAGGAGGGGAGGGGAGGGGAGGGCAGGGAAGGGAAGGTGCTGCTGAACACAGTGGGGAAGAGAGGGGTGCAAAGAGCAGGGGCATGTGATTTTTACCTGATTCAGGGACTTTAAAAGTCCTCACCTGCTGCTTCTACAACATGGTCTGCTCACTCTAGGATGGGGGGAAGCTGGAAATGGGAGTGCAGCCACCCCTACAGTGTTGGTTGCTGCTTCTGCACCCCCACTTTACAAAAAACCTGGATCTACCCATGGACCCTATAATAGCTTCTGAATAACTCATTGGGTTTACCAGGGCTAAGATGCGTGTCATCTTTCCAATTTTGAAGCTCTCTATTTTTGGATACAAGTATTCAGAATAATACTCATCAGTTATTTTAAAAGGAAAAATAAACCAACATATTTGTATAGAGTTCACTTTTAAGCGAGTCCATTTAATGGCATGCTGTGGCAGCTATAGGATGAGGGTCATTCACAGAAGAAATTTGCACTGTAAATGGTTCTCTCTCTAAGGTAAAAACAGCTATTGTGGAATTCTCTTCTTCCTTTCATTATCATGCACAGAAATACTGGATAATTACATAGCTCCTCTCATTGAAATAATCCAGTGCCATGCTTGACAAATGGCAGGCTGTGCCTCTGCTGAGATAAACTTTCATGATAGCAGAAGGGATAGTAGCCATGAGGCCATGTTCGTTCAGGCTTCCTTGTCCCCGTCTCTTTGTCTTCCTTCATTTGTCTGTATCTATCATCTCGTTTCTTATATTGTAATCTCTTCAGGGCATGGGACTGTCTTTTTATTCCATGTGAACAGCACCTAGCCCACGGGGGTCCTAATCTGTGAGTGGGACTCCAAAATGCTGCAATAATAAAAGTCACCAGATTTAAAATCCTTGTATTGCTTTTCTGAACACATGCTTTTGGAACACCTGTGCTTCTAGTGCTGGGTGAAAATAATTTGGGGATAATAAAACTTGTAAGGTTTATTGCTGCATGTTGACATACTTGGAAGGATTCAGAGACATCAGTTATTTCTTAGGTGAGCAACAGGTGCTGTTCAGATATTTTAGACAGTTAAAACCGGGAAAGGTAATCTGGGACAAGTACCTGAGGTGATGTCTGAGCCTGGAATAAGCTAGAGGGCCATTTTCATTCACAGGTGAACAAGGTAAACCAACTTCTCCCCCTCCTCCCCCCACAAAAAACAAAACAAAACAAAACACC